TATTTTGTAGTCTTGAGCGCATCCGGGTCTCCACAGTTCTTGTTCCGCTCCACGAAGACTCAGCGATGGCTCTTCCGCGATGTTTGGTGCTTACCGACCTTGCTCTTACAACACTCCCCACCCCTCTCCTTAGCGTTAACGTACGACCCTCTCGATGGCTTTCGCACAACGATGCTGTACCCCAGCGGGAACTGCTAACTGTGTGAAGCTATACAAGATCATCAGCTTCTTGCATTTGACAAGAGTCCACAGACCTCACCAATGTGAAACGAGTAGTTTCACGAGAATTAGCAAAAGAAACTAACGAAAGTGCAGTATGTCTAGCCCTTCCCTTCCTCCCTAAGCCGGATAGCCGCAAAAAAACATACTTCCATCAACACACGTAACTCCATTGCCGTAGATGCGCTAATCATCATCGTAGTTTACGGAATGCGATTAATTCTAGAGAAACAAACCTTACTGAAAGCACGAAATTTCACTAATTAAATGTGCAGAAGCCTATTCAGCAAATGAATAAGCGTTTGATTGAGCTGTAATTCTGCGACAAAATGTGCAATGGACTTTCATTGCTGAATAGAAAAGCCAGGTTCTTAAAGCGATAGCTGATAATGCTATTCTTCCATGCTTTGATTATTCGCGGAACTCACCAGCTTCGAAGAAGATCAGCTTATCGCACAGTCCTTAATATTCGTCCTCGTGACTGTTCCACTTTATTCCAAGTCGCTTGGCCAAGATGTCGAGTGGTCCTCTTTTTGGGTGGGGTTATGTGTCTCTTCTTGCAAGTTCGGCTGTTGCTTGTGAATGTCCCAATCGTTTTGTGCCCAAAGAGGTTGTGAGGTAGGACAGTCACCCATTTGGCCTGCCATCATGGCAGAATCTTTGCCAAAAGCCTGGAGAAGTGTTAGGTTTAAGATCTGTTCTAGCAAACGCCTCGTCAATCCGAGAGGTTCCATCGATATGTCAGGTAGTGCACAGTACTCTGTCATTACCGCAGGAAACTCACCGAGGACCCCATCTCTGAGCAGAAAGGTCTGTTGCCCAGAAGTGCTATTTAGTTGTTGGATAGCCATGAAGCTTGTGCGCTCGAAGACGAACTGAACACCCATGTCACTTCCTTCCAGTGCGCGAGGGGAGTGGATCTGCAGCTGCAGAAGCGTGCCGCTTTCTCTGTTCAACACCTTGACGAGGAGCCATTTTTCTCATTAGTGCGCGTTGGGACGGCACATTTTTGCCTACGTTGAAACCCCCCTAGTAATCTAAATATAAATGAATGGACTACTGATCGACGTGTGTCAAAGAAGCAAGAGACGAGTATACGAATCGCGAATCTTTGACACAATTTAGCTTCTATTTCTTCAATCTTCTAAAACCAGCCTGTTTTACCGACTGCCTTCTTAAAGACACATGGTACGCTCAAACACATTAAGGGTGTATGAGACTAACAGCCCCCCAGCTGTCGATGTGTCGTGGTTTCCCCGCCCGAAACTGCACGGGGGTCCGAGTACGGGACCGTGGGAAAGGCTTATTCCTTGCTACACCGCCCAAAATGCACCGCGCGCAAGTTGCATTTCGCCGCGCGCAAGTTGCATTTTGGGCGGTGTAGCAAGGAATAAGCCTTTCCCACGGTCCCGTACTCGGACCCCGTGCAGTTTCGGGCGGGGAAACCACGACACATCGACAGCTGGGGGGCTGTTAGTCTCTCTCACACACCCTCAATGTGTTTGAAGGTACCATGTGTTCTTTAAAGGCAGATATGGCTGAAAATCTGACTAACGTAGCGTAGCCATAGCCTCCTTACGATCACTATCGCATCCCCGCCCGAAAATGTTTGCTCTTGAACTGATTTTCTGTAAAGAAAACGAAACAATGGCGCAGATTTTGAGTTACAGTCCGCATCATTGCGAATGTCATAGGGCGGGGCTGCTCACGGCGGTCCAAATTGGGCGTTTCGGCTGCTCTACCAATAGCGAAGTCGGGTAAATAGTCCGGGACTATTAATTCAATCGTATCGCTATTGGTTTTCTTCTAGAGCTAATTCCGATACGTCCCATTTGGACCGCGTTGCACATGCCGCCTATGACATTACGTCAATGATTGTCGCGACTGTAACTCGAAAATCTTGCGCCATGTTTCATTTTCTTTCACAGAAAAATCAGGATCAAGCGCACATGTGCGTTTATTTCCGGGCCGGGGGAAGGGAGTGTAAGTTGCGTAATAGGGGAGGCGGCACGACCATTGATGGAAAGCCGCACCGAAATGCGCGATGTTCTGATTGCGACCCCGACGTATTTCGTGGTGATGTAACAGTGATTGTAATAAACTAGCCGGACAGCATTTGGGTAACGCGGCGTCCCACAAGGGACAACTGGCTCTTCGTCACAATTGCGACGGGAAACGTCGTCACCCATTAGTGGATATGGTCGTGTTCACGAAGGTCTACTACTGGAGACATGTTTCTGAGGAACATAGGATTATTTTGGCGCCGGCGCCTGTGGCGCGGGCGCCAGGCAGTTCGTGCCAAGCGACTGTGGTATTCGTTTCAGAGGGACAAGCTACCCCTAGGGATACGTTTCCAGCGAACTTGGCTGTTCGTACATCTTTATTATTAGAACAATATAGTGGCAGACAACATTGTCTGCCATCGTCCCACGAGACAGACTGGCTGTCAGCCACCATTGTCCCCACCCCGCTATACTCATGGTGCAGCACTTGCGCCGATGCCAAGGTCCCGGAACGAAACATGCAGTGCAGAGAACCCTAGAGCTGAGGGGACGCACACAAGTGGCGCGTTCGGGTATGGTTAAGCGTGTGACTTTCGACGCCGGGGGGGGGAGCACGGAGACAGCACCCGGTAGCGCTGCACTTCTATTGTGCACTATAGAAGCCATTCAGTAGTATCATCTTAATCCTTAAAATTGTGACTGACCGACGAATAATGAATAATTAAATATATATGTGTCTGTAACAACTTCACTAGTTTTGCTTTGGTTATCTTACCACTGATTTTCAGGGAGCAGCTTCTTAGCTTCATGAGCAGCAACTGTCCTTTCGAAAAAGCCATTTTTGTTTTGGACCGAATTTGCTTCATATATTGGATTGTCACTGTTCCTATCTACACGTTTATAATGCTCGTTTTGATTCACGCGCAGAGGAAAAATGTTGTGAACCTGACCAGTTCTTTCTACAAACTCTGCATCTCGGCAGGTTTCACAGACATCGGTAAGATTTTCTATACAAGTTACCAAGAACACCCGTTGAGAACCGAGTTGTTTGAGCTGTTGTGGCTAGTCTGCCGTCTTCATACGCCACGAGAACATGACTCCATTAACGTTTGTCAACAAGAACTACGTTTAACAACAAAAAGAGCTCGACAGAAAAGGGAGGAGGCACTTTTCCGGTTGTGCGGAAAAGAAAACCAGTCGGATGTGGGGCTGGAGGGGCGGTACCGCCATCGGCTATGGGGAATTCCCGCACGATTTAGATGATCTCTTGGTAGGCAGCGTAGCTACCTCACTTGACAGGGCGTGATCGGACGGGATCACCTCCACAGTGGCTGCTGCAGTAGTGCGTAGGTCTCTTGTAGAACTGGAGAGAATTTACAGTCAATTAGCTCCTTTCATCACACGTATGGGTGCAGACAAGTTGTGGCAGAAACCACTGATAAGTGCACATTCAAAAGTGGGCCTGTTGAAAATGAAGGGTAGGGGTAGGAAGAGACTAACGGGATTCGACAGTACCTTTCAGCATCTTGGTATGTGTAGCCACACACCACTGCACTCTTGCTCTTAGCCGACCTTCTAACCATCTCTAAATGTTCTTTGCTGAGGCGATGATCAATTGAAGCATTATAAAGGCCGACTCGATACTTGGAACAAATCCTACTATATATAATCCGCTAAGTTTGTCTGTTGGTGTGTGTATGTGTCTGTCTGTCTGTATGTGTGCTTGACCGGAAATTCATAACTTCCTTTGATTTCATCGCAAGGAGTTCAAAGCTTATGAGTGATGTAGGAGGTGGGACAGGAACACTATTGGTGGGTGGCAGGAAGTGATAACAACTGATAAGATACCATAAAAGCTTTAAAAATGAAGAGTCCCCAACTTCATGTCTTGGACCACAGGACATTTTTTCCAATAGGGATAGGTAGGTGATGTATGAGGGGACAGGAACACCATTTTGATGGCAGGAAGTGATAACAACTGATAAAATACCATGAAAGGCATTAGAAGGGGTGGGTCACCAAATTCATATCTTGGGCCATAACAGCGATGGTTGCAATAGGTGATGTAGGTAGGTTGGGATAAACATGTGGGTGGCTCGAAGTGATAACAGCTGTTAAGATACCATAAAAGCGTTAGGAGTAAACGTCTAAAGAGCTCGCCAATGAGGAATGATAAAAGCCACCGACAGGTAGATAAGTGAAAATGCTTCACCACTTTTACGAAGGATATGAAGACATTTCACTATCATCTCGATATTGTTATCATCAAAACTCTTTCGACCGCTAGGCTGTCCGTGTTTCCAACGAATGGAAGATGTTTCAAAAGCGTGATAAGCACTGACATTGGTCGATCATTACTAAGGGGACATGACTGGAGGTAAGTAGGCTAAGAATAAAAGCTTAGCTGGAGTTTGTTGAAGGCTGCTGCAAATGTACTGTCATGCTTCAGTTGCACAGGCTTAATCATTAGATGCGCGCAGAAGTGCGCGTCAGCCATACTGGATACTCCATCATGATTCATTTGCGGGTTCGATGCGCATACTACTCCATGTGTTTTGCAAAAGCGCCACTTGCCAGTGCACCACCTGCAACCATCTTTCATGTTTGTTGATGCTCCTAACATTTTCAGTGACCCTGCTCACCAATTATTTCGGTGCAATATTCCCAAGGTGGGGCTGGTTCAGCTCCGTTTATTCGGCTATTGGCGAACAATGGATGTACATATATCTCGTCATATCTTGGGGTTCAGGTACTGCACAAGCACGTCCTCCAAAATTACCTCTTCGCTTACTCAATGTTTTAAGTGATCAATCAATCGTTTTCGGTATCTTTATTAGCCGCGAATCGTCTTTCGGCTATTCTGTTCCCCCGATTGTACGACAAGGTACTTCTTCTTCCAGTTTCTATTTTTCATGGAAGTCCTAAAGAAGGCAGATCGAGAAAAGCTGAATCGTGGTTGTCTCATTGAAAGTAGAGAACCATAGCTTACAGAGGGGTAGGGGAGAACAGCCAGAATAAAGAACAACTTACAATTAGTCGTAGTGTTAAGACAAAGGAAGCACTCCAGAAAGCACTCTATGAACTACGGTTCCTTTCAAAGCAAGGCCACAACTCTATAGCCACTAAAAGCTGATCGTGTTTTTCTTCTGCTGATCCTCTACATTTAGCGCGTGCTCAGGTGAAGGGTATTCCTCTGTATTAGGCCTATCTACCCTGCACATTCGTTCGATTTTTAAACAATGTGCCTTCAAGTGAGAAAGTTCTGCTATTGACAGTTGAACGTTTTAAGATATTCGTTCCAGTTATGGCATGGGCGACGACTTATTATTGCTGTCATCATTCAACATGTTACGGGTTACATCTTTCCGTGGTATTTTTCCAAAAGCACAGTGCAACTTCAGAAAACAAGAAGTGGAGGTGTGGTGCTTCAAATTACAGAGTATGTTTACAGTTTTATTCGCAGTCTTCCTGAAGGGAGTCTGAAGTTTATGCTTCACCATTTCAGTTATATATATTTATTACACGAGTAGTCTCGTGTGAAGAAATAACAAAAAGAATCACAAACACGCCTATCAGTCACATTCTAGAACATTCGAGCTAATTCATAAAGCGGAAATGAATAACTCACCAACAGGGATCAACATAAAGGCAACTAAATTGAGTGCGCCCAGTAATGTGTCAAAACAGCATAGAAAAAAAACAGCCTAGGACCAAGGCATTTCACTAACCCTTAATCGTGTTTAAAAAACTTTTGAGCTAGCCGTAAGATATTGTTATCGGACACTTTTTGCATAACCTTGGAATAAGGGAATGGCTGAAGGAACTTCGCCTGCAACAGAATTGGGTCCACCCATATCAGTTTTTATCCTATCCACCTCTTGTGAATGAGGTCCTCTGTACCCACAGCTTGTTAGAGATCTAGTTTAGCTTTTCCATGAATAAATTTATGAAGCAGTAATAGATCACTCTTCTTCCGCCTAATTTGCAGAGTTTGTAAACCAAAATTCTTATTCCTAACCTCACTCGAAGGGATATTGGTCATGCATGAACCCAAGGACTCTCACCATTAACTTCCTTGTGAAGCTATTTTGTGACTGCCTCTAGCTTACTAATGGACTTAACTTTGAAAGGGCTCAACACGGGTGTACCATATTCTAGAACAGATCTTACATATGACTTGTAAGCCTGCAAAGCACAGACGTACTCCTTGTCGACAGTGCTCTAAATATGTTATGCATGATAATGGTTCCCTTCCTTGCGATATCTTCACAATGATCATCAAAACTAAGATCGCTGTTGACAAGGAAACCTAGGTCTGTCTGTGTCCTAGGTTTATCTGTGTTCAACCACAGACAAAACTGTGCTTCCAATACTGTATCTATGCCGTTTGTTACGTGAGCCGAGGTGGAGCATCCTAGTTATAGAGGGAGGCTTCATTCCTCTGAACTTGCTGGACTTTGTTAAGAGTATCCTGAAGGCCTTCAGCATCGTCCTCATTAAAGAACGAACGATAAAGCTTGAGATCGCACACATTTCAACATTACTTTGCTCAGAGATAGAAACGAGGTCAGTCGTTAAATATTGAGCAGTACAGGCGAAAGCACCCCTCCTTGCGGAACTCCACTGCGTGCAAATCTAGGTGAAGAGAATGAAGAATTGATACGAATAGAGAATTGCCGTCCTAACAGGAATGCCGCAATCCATGCCGGAATGCGGTGGGTTCCTATGTCGCTCATTTTATACAACAATTTTTTGTGACAGACTCTGTCAGTGGCTTTGCAAAAGTGAAGATACACAACATCAACAGTCCTTTATAACCCTCATCTCAAACACTCTAGGTCCAAATGACTTAGAGCTGAATCATAGCTGGCCGTCTTCTATGTTACCGTGAGCGAGTGACTTTTTACAAACAAATCTACAAGCAGTAAAGTGAAATCGCCTACCATGGCCTTTCCCTCTTTGATGTGTTTCTCCTCTTTGCCATATGAAAAAAAGAGAAAACACAAGTTTGGCGTGAGTCTCTCCATACAAATGAAAAGCTCGGCGACGTTGACTTAGCGTTATCTAAATACTTTGAACAGTAGTACGTGTTCCAACAAAACTGAGCCATTTCCATTTGGAGCTTTCAGCAAAAAGTTGACGTCGGCCCACTCTGCCTTGGCTGGACTTATTCTGGCAGGAAACAGCATGTTTCTCGTAGCGGCATACAGCTATCTATTTTATGCTATTCGGAAAAGACATGCTGCACAGCTGCAGGTTTGTATCGTTTCCTAGAGGAAAAAGAAAGGAAAAAAGTGGAGAGAATACAGATGACAACGAGACCTGCCTCTACTCGTCTAAGCCAGGCTTCATCCTCCCCTATCTCCTCAAGCTAGCGGTCCCGCTCAACCCTTAGCAAAGCAAATGACTGCATGCAATCAGAAAGGGTGATACCTGGTGATCTTGAATCCTTTTTTTCATCTTTCACTTGTGCACTTAGCGAAACGGCCCGGAATTCTATGAGCTTGAACACATCAAACTAACATTAGCAAAGCCCATCTACTTTATTGCTGTGGTTACCCACCTCTCTAAGAAGCTATTCAGTTTTAGCAACTGCTGTGTAATACCTTCCTTCTTGGTGGTTGAGTTGTTGGTAAGATGGAGCGAAAGGTAGAAGATAGCAGTGGTTGGTGACATATGAGCGAGAGGGATAATACACGAGAGTCCCACAACATATTTATCCTTTCCGGTAATCGTATGCTGAAAGCGAACAAGTACAGATGCATAATATCAACCTTTGAAACTAGAGCACTTGTTTTGCGAAGAGGTCCGATGCGTGTATTGATATCCGAGTAAGAAGTGCCTGCATTTCACTTTCCAATAATTAGCTTTGAGTGACTAATTAAAAAAATTGACTGCGCAGTTAGAAGTATCTCAGAAGGGTAAAAGTGACTTGATGGAATTCCTATACTTCGAGATTTGAAAAGCACCTTTCTCTTCCTTTTTTCGTGCTCTTCTAAATTGACGAAAAAATTTAGGCTGGTGCTGTAGCGCAGGTGAAACGAGGTCTCAATATTGATTTTCTGAAAAGGAGAGAATATCGTTTACTCATGGTGGCGTCAACAATAGGTTGGCTTATTGACTACTAAAGCCATTTTGTCAGCATTGATATCGTCGCAGTCCGACGAGGAGACGTCAGAATGCGTGGAATGAACCTACCAGCAAAATTATTTTTTCCCCATTTCGTTTCTACCTGCAGTGTCCATTGCTAGTGAAAATCGCAGCAGTGAAGGTTTTATTCCACACCTTGTGACACCGCAAGATCACGACGATATAAACAGTGTCTGTAAGGTTGCGGAGACACACGCAACAAGACGTGTGAAAGTTTTTTAGACAGAAGGCGTCATACTTTTTTAGACACATACCTTAGCAGTAGCATACTGGTATTTGATATTTGATTGAGAACACGCCCATATTCAAACGTAGTCAGTTCTATTGCTAATGACAAATAAGGGCTAATAAGAAATACACAGTTCAGAAGCCCATGCTAGACTGAGCTTGCACTTTCACTTGCTTGTGTCAGCTTAGTCTCCTTCCTCGGAAATTGAGATACTCAGATAGGGCGGACCAACTGCACCATCAGGCAGTCTAGTCAGAAAATGAAAATTGGGCGTAGTCGGCGTGGCCTCGTCGCATGCAGGTCGCGCTTTCCCTACATGTTTTTGAGCTGAGAGAGTAGCTCATCCTCCATGCTTGCGAATAGGACTGCCGTTAAAAGAAGGTGTCTGCGTATCCAAAACGCGTGGTGTGCCTTTCCATTATTTCTATATCTTGCAAAAGAATAAGGGAGGCATGTTTTTCTTGTAGCTTCAAATAATCTGAGCGTAGCCACACGCTGGTTGGGGATGATTCGAGAACATTCCCATGGGCAATTCTTTAATGCCTGCAAGAAACCTTCTATACACAGATGATGTAATTTCAAATACCAGCTTAAGTGTACACAGAAAAAACTGTAAACATGATCGAATTATTCAAGAAAAAAAGAGCAGATGCTTAGTTCCCACTGCTGGATTTGTCAAATGAGGTAGAAGGCGCGCGTCAACTAAGGGATCACCAAAACGTGCGTGACCTCTGAATAGTCGATGGCGATGGCGGCTCTCCACACTCACACAGGAGTCTGGCTTCTGCAACACCTCACCTCTTCCTTTCAGACTTTTTCTGTTGAACGTAGTTTTCGTAACAAACGTGGACTGAAATGGTACTAAGACGGCAGCCGAGTCGCAAAGTTGCAACACACTTGCTATTTTTACTGAATGTACTTGTTTGTCAGGTCTTCCTCCCTTCCCCTACTGACAGCCGCAGGCAAGAAGAACGTTAGATAAATTTGTTTAGTTTCCGAGATGGAAACGGATGCCTGCGAAATGTAAATAAACGACTTTTTTTCAGTCAATCCTCCACTTCATCGATTGAGATTTTTCTAGGTGTTCTAGGCACATTATTCCTCTAAGCGCATCATAACCACTAAAAAGCATATCATATGGAATCAAATAAACCATACTATATTGTGTAGTGAGTGGAGCTGGTCTAGTGGCATGGGGCCGCGGACCGTGCTTGCGATCTGAGGTGAAATCCTGTACCGGCTCTCCGGACTAACAGGCCTCCAGGGATGGTCAACTTCATCCAGATCTCCCTCTGAGGACAAGAGAACTGATCCGTAGAACGGGTTGGATCTGCGAATCCTTCTGCATCATAAGCTTCAACATCATACGCTTAAGCATTCAGTATTCTTAGTGGAAGCATAGTATGAGCCAAAAGAGGCTGATCAACGGAAGAAGCTTAATCCTTTTGTCCTCCCTATGGCGGTTGAATACCGTTATCATAGATTCTTTAACAGCTCAGACAAAGGCGTTTGGCGAGTGCTATAGCGTGCTTGTTTCCTAGTTATATGCATTTGGAACATAAAATATGCACAAATGAGCCGTCTTAATC